AGTATGGACAGATCGCTTCATGGAGGGCTTAGGGCCCAAAAGTGCAGCCACCCTTCTAACCAACTTCTGACGCACTAAATTTCACTGCCAGTCGGTAGATTCTAATTCTTACGAAGATGGCTAGGAAAGTACATAAATGAGCGTTCTTCCACAAAAATGAGTAATTTTATGCAAAAACTAAGTCAAATACGTGCTTTATAAACGATGGTTCGTAAGAATTGTATTAATAAATCGTTCTGGATAATTGAAATTCATAGGTTGGCAGCATTTCTGGGCCCTAACTTTATTCGCGGAGGCATCGGTGAAGGCCTGATGGATTTTCGGAGTTTCACATCTGTCTATACTCTCGCTATACAGGTACTCTAGTTTCGAGCCTCGCATAAACGTAGCTAATGACCGACTTGTTTCGAATTCTGGAGCCCTTAAGAATGCCTGTGCAAAGTTTCAGACTTCCAGGACAATTTTTCGGCGAGATAAGAACTGAAAACCATGTTATTTCTAAAAACAGCGGATGTGAGAATCCACTATTCTCCCCCGCCGGCGCCGACGCGGCAGGTCATGGTAGAGATTCGAATCCACTTGCGATAACTGCCCGCGCACCGACCATGGGCTATAGCTGACACTCAAATTGTACGTATCGGGACCGTCTCGCCAGAATTGTTGATTTTTTAACTGATTTTATAATTTGTTCCTTACTTTTTTCTAGAAGTTACAAACGGTCTAGTTTTTTGTTCAATTGTATTAAATGACTTAGCATTGACTTACTTTTGGTTCATTTCAATCGTTTCACCAGCCTTAACCCTCCTGAAGACTTTGTATCATGCATAAAAAAACTTTTTCGATAAAAACAGCAGATGTCACATTTTTTTCAAATCGCCGTGTTACTCCTTCAATTTTTCACTTACATTGATCACAAAACGTGTTTTTTACAGGAAGGGTTGCTCTTCATGAAAATCTTTATAAGAATCCTCTCCGTTCTACGTTCTGCTAAGTGCAAAGCTTCGAAAACTTGGAACGCAATTTTCTCACAATGTGAGAATTTGACATCCGCTATTGTTACAGATGAGTCCTCATATCGTCACTATCCAGATCCCCATTCTTACCAGTTTCATTCCCAGTTTTGTTATCACGGTCATGTCCCCCCAATCTTTTACCATCATAACCTTTCCCCAATACCTTTTTCATCACACCTTATCCTGTCAAATTAACTTACCTCCAATTTTAAGTTTTTACTTTCTCGCTCCCCTGGGGTAGAGAGGAAGTATTGTCATCCTCCAAGAAAAAAAAAAAAGTTATTTCATCATTTCTAGACGTTTTAAGGTCCCAGGAGTCAAAATAACCATACTTGAAAAAATGTGTGACCGTCCGTCTGACGTCCCCCAAATCTGTCTACAGCGATATCTCAGAATCTGTCTGTTCGATTTCATTCAAAGTTCTCACAGAACACCATATTTATGGTCGGCTTATGCACGGCAAACGATTTTGGGGTACGCTAAAATTTGGGGGGGCTAGAGTCAAATTGTGTTAAAGGTCCATTTTCGGCAAAATCACACGGAAAGCTCATTTTGAGGGACTGTAAATTTTGAAAAATGCCTTTAATTATTTGAAAGTGGGCATCAAGCACATCACCTGGGTCATTAATTTAAGTTCCTAAAAGATCTTTGGACTAAACTCAAAATTCAAGGGATTACGAGGCCCAAAAGTAGGGCACTTTGCTCCGCGACATCACACAAACAACTCATTTTCTAAGACTGTAAATTTGAAAAAAAATGCCTTTCATTTCTTCGAAAGTTGGCATAAGAGCACCACCTGGTTCATTAATGTAAGTTCCTATGAGGTCTTTGGACTAAACTAAAAATTGAAGGGTTACGCGTCATATAGCAAGGAGAGCACTTCGGTCACACGGAGAGCTCATGGACTGTAGATTTTGAAAAAAATGCCTTTAATTCTTTGAAAGTTGGCTCAAAAGCACCATCTGAGTCATTAATTTAAGTTCCTAAAGGATTCTTGGACTAATCTCATAATTGTAGAGGGGCCGATAGGAAACGCTCAATTCTCTGATAAATGAGTCGGAACGCTTCTAGATAATAGCAGCAAACGCTTTGAGTCAGGTGAAACCTAGGAATTCAAATGCAATGCATCATATACGATTTCCAAAATTACTCCGTAGGTATACACCAAGCAAAATTAGACAACTAATTAGGTACTATTTTACCTTAGGTAGTGTTTAATTTTTCTTCTCTACCTACCCTTTCCGCAATTTTAGTGCATCAAGGCAGACTTACCTTGGGTGTACCTGTGCCTAACCCTCAGACGCTAGGTACCCAACCTCAGTTTTTTGTCTTCTAGTACTCCAACCGGACTTTCAACACTGTTACCAATTAGCAGGCTCTCCACCTTCTTAATTCCTACTTCAAAAGCTTCCCTTTTGCTGACCATTTTGATTTTCACCGCAGAAAAACCAATCACTTCGATCAGAAAATATACAGTCACAGACTCTTATCTCTTATCACGATATGAATAACATAGCTACACCCAAGATATTTCCTTGACGGATCGCGAAACGAAACTGTATTTTTTTTCTGTTAAATATGCATCTCGTGGAAAATTACATAAAACATTGAAATGAATTGATTGACAGAAACGAGTCGCATATCACAACCTGATACAGGCACATTCATTCTCATTATGAAGCTTCAGTTTCACGACTTGACAAAAAAGCTAATGTCATTAGCTCTTTTTAATATCCGACAACAACTCCTCATATTTTCAATTGAATTTACCAAATTACGTAGATCTTGCACTTAAGAGGTGGCAGAGAGAGAGTAAGTACCCAATGCATTTGGTTCCTGTGTAAAATGGCCCTCTTGGCATAATGAGAATCAACATACTTAAACTGCACATGATCTACATGGCAGGAGCTTGCGTTAGAAGACAAGGTAAACAACTCAGAAGTTAGAATTAAGTAATCCTAAGTATTACTTTTTTGAAAAAGAGATAAGTGCAGCTTATCAGGAACAGTAGGTGCTGAGCCTTACCTGTTGCGATATTTCGGTGTTGTTGACATCATATATGAGACAACTTCAATTGCTGCCTTGCAAGTTTGAATTGATGGAGAGAAAATTATACATGATTACTTGAACAAGTCTTTCATGTCTATAGAGGAAGAATGAACGTCAAAGCACAGCACTTGTAAAAAAATGTTCACATGCAGCCTTACACATTGAGAGCGGAGTTCACAACGAACGAAAGTGGAGTGGGATGGAGGATTGACGGCTTATTAACGGGAGACTTACATGGCCAAAAGGAATAGGTCAGGTCATAACAAAACACTACGAGGAGACAAGAGTGTCCGATTTCCATCGCAACGGAAGTGAAAGGCAAAGCTTTTTATGCAATAATAAAAATACCCTCATGTCAGTTGTGTTATCTGGTTATCTGAGATGTTTATTTACACCCTTAGGTTATCCGTTGTTGTTATGTAACCAACGGCAACGAGCGGATGTTTACTTTTTGCAGGCAAAGACCGATGTTTACTTTTTGCAGGCAAAGACCCCCTACGATGTGCAGGCAAGATGGCTGCGTCGCGCGACGGGAACTCAGGCATGGACCAATTTATTTTCTCTTTGGTCCATGACTCAGGGCAGTTCGAGCTTCGAGTACTCTCTTCCCAATACCTACTCTAACCCATCCTATCGTCCGCCGCCTCCCTACCCCACCGTAGGGATGTCGATACTCAGGGAAGTATCGATACTCGGTATCGATACTGGTATCGACTCTAAGCATCGATACCGGTATCGATCATCGAGCTGAAGTATCGATACTTATGAGGTATCGATACCATCGATACTATTTCTGAATTATGCCGTGATTTCTGAGTGTGCATTTGTCTGTCGGCCGTTAAATTCCGCCAGATTTACGCCTCTCTCTAAAAAGCCCTGTTCGCGTCCTTAGTCAACTATTTTGAGCCCTTAACTACAGTTATCGAACTGAGCTTTTACCATTTTTATTGAAGTACAATCATCTTGAGAAACTTGATTACTCCGTCGTTTGTCACAGTGCATCATGAAGATGAAATAGCGGGGAGAGAATTTTTTAAAAAAGAAAAAGAGGCCCTCTTCATGGCCAAATCAGATTAAGTATCGATACCGTCGATACTGGGGTCTTGGCATCGATACTGCATGGTATCGATATCGTGGAGTATCGATGCAGAGTATCGTTAAATATCGATGCAGAGTATCGTTAAGTATCGATCGAAAGTATCGATACTTTCCAAGTATCGGATAAGTATCGACATCCCTACCCCACCGTCACCCTCAGCGCCATACCAGTGGGTGCATTATATTAATCCATTTTGTATTTCTTAGAATTAAAAATTGAAAATATACATATTAATTTATTGATACTATCATATTTCCAATGTAAGTGTTATCTTTGTAGGTGATGTTATTTATTTACACTCCCACATTTCACCTCTTGATGCCTGATTGGTAAATTTTACCACTTTTTGGATTGTTATGTACTTTTGAAGGTTTAAGTTATCAAAAGTAGAAATGTGCACAGATATTGTTTTAGCAAATTTTTCAAGAAATGTGCTAAGTGCCTCGTATTTACCTATTAACAGGAAGTTTCCAGAAGTTGTACCATTGTGCCACAAAAAGAAATTGATAAATTTGTGCGAATGTTTAGTTAAAGTTTTAGCTTGATGGTTCATCTTTACATGGAAATATTTTTGGTACAATTATAATTTCCACAATGAAAGTCTGGCAACACAGCTAACTTAGCAAAATCCCTC